AAAGGGTTTGGCCAAATCCCTCTCTCTCCCACACCTCAAGTATTTAAACACGTTGATGAGATCCCCTCTCAGCCTTCTTTTCTCCAGGCTGAACAGACCCAGGTCTCTCAGCCTTTCCTCATAAAGAACATGCTCCAGACCCTGTATCATCTTTGTGGCCCTCCGCTGGACTATTTCCAGGAGATCCCTGTCATACATTCTTGAGGCTTGCACAGGGATATTTTCCCCAGTTTGTGGTGCATTACATTATAGAGTGATAAACTGTACATCTTTAAATATTCCTTTAGTTATATTGAATATATTGGGCTGCTACAGTTCAACAGAGTTTGATCATCTACAATTCTAGTCTTCACTTGCAGATGGTCCATTTAAAGCTTCCAGGAGACTGCCAATTAACTGAAATCATGATGTGGCTGGTTAAACTGGTTGTGAGTGTGTTTTATATTGATCTGATATTTTTGATTCAGTAACAACCACTGTAATAGCATGAGTGTGCCTTTGTGGACTGCAAAAGAAATGTTAATATACCTCAGAGTCACATACAACAAAACAGAAATAGTTGGCATTTTAAAAAAGTTTATAAATATACTGGAGCACAGAACAAGGCAAAGTGATGACTTCATCTATTATATGAAGACTCTGTTTAATGACTTAAACAATTAAAAAGACACTAGAGAAGAAGGTAATGCTTCACTTTGGTACATTAAACCTCTTGTTTATGTTTCTACTTACTGAGTTCTCAGTGTTTGCTGTGATTGTATTCAGATTGGGAATATTTTCTAGTTCCTAGCAGGGAAGAAAATGATAGAAACACTCTTTGACTGGGGAGTGTCTCAGACAAAAAATAGCTTAAATTGTGTGTGGGGGTGTGGCACTGAACGTCAAAAACTGAGCCTCTGAACTTCCAAGCAGAAACCTCCTACTTGCTAGGCACAACCAGTATGGGGTGATTTTAAATTTTGAAAAACTGCACTAAACTGAAACAACATGGCCTGACTCTTCCTGTTAATAAAGGGATATGAGACAGACCCACCAACAAGGAAAGCAATCGTATCTTGTGCTTCTATGTACAAGATATGTACTTAGATAAGAAAAAATGGAGACTTTGGAGTCTGGAAAAAGAGAGCTGTAAGGACAAAAAAAGAAAAAAAAAAATCCCTAAAGGAAGAAGTGGTCTCAGAAAGAAGTGGCTCTGGAAGTTAGAAGTGGGTGGTTTTACCCTGCTGGGCAGCTGAACACCACCACATCTGCTCTCTCTCCACCTCCTCATAGGAAAAGGGGGAGAAAATATAATGAAAAAGGGCTAACGAGTTGAGATAAGGACAGAGAGATCACGTAACTATTATTGTTATGGGTAAAACAGACTCAGCATAGGGAGATTAACAAAATTTATTACCTATCATTAACAAAGTAGAACAGTGAGAAAGTAAAAACTTCTCCTTCTCCATATACACTCTTCTATCTCCTCCGCTGAGTGGCTCAGGGGAATGGGGAAAAAAGCAAAAGATTCTTCAGCCACATATACATTTATATAAACACAAAGAACAAGGAGTGAAGAATTGTTTGCTATACAGTGAGGGAGAGAGAAAACATAATCCATGCATAGCTAGGAATTGAAATGAATGGTTTGTGTTGGGATTTAGCAGGCCTGGGATGTTGACCATTTCAGCAAAGGCAAGACGGCTAACAGGACTGAAGTTATGTAAATAGAAATTATCGTTTCCGAGATGGGAACCCAAAGAGCTTAATCTTTTCAAGCCCGGAGACCAACTAATTTCTGTCCCACAATGCTGAAAGAGCTGGCACATGAAATTGCAGGACTGCTGGTGAATATTTTTAATAAACCTCAGGGGAGAATGGATATGAGTACAGAATATCAAATGTACTACCTTTATTTAAGAAGGGATAGGAAAAGTGATGTGGGAAAGGACAGGCCATTAATCTCACCTCAGTTGCATGCATGGCTTAGAACAAAGTTTGAAGGAAGGACTAATTAAGACACATGAGAAAATGGGCAATGGGATAAAGCATAACCTGGCTTTACCACAAGTAATCTAAAGAAAAGGCAGGCACCTGGCTTTTTTTTTCTCTCAAAGAAGAGTGCTCAGAAATTTGAAAGACTGCTTCTAAGCACCTACTCTCTGGAGAAGATTCTTAATTATCACTCCTTAGAGGCTCAAACTTCAGAGTGGTTGTACTCAGCATTTCCCTCCAGACTTCCCTAAAGTTTCCTGCTGAACAAACTGATTTTTAGTAGTCATTTAAAACATAGTTATGGTTTCCTCTCTGCATACCAAATGCCAAAAGCTAGAAGCAAAACTAAGGCTTACTATGATGATGAGATGTTTTATATGTTTTTTACTGCATTATTTTATTTTTAATGTTGCTAATTGTTTTGTGTATCTGCAGTTGAGTGTCCTCTCAAAACCAGGACAATGAGTACTGAACCAGGCAAAGCATGAAAATAATTTTTAGGAGGCTTAATTTGGTTCAAAACAAAAAGTCAGCATTTAACATCTCTGAAATGCTTCTTAGGAGCAGCCCTCAATCTACATCATTAAAAACAACCAGTTGGTCAAGTAAGCAAAGTGAAGAGAGCATTTTTCTGTAAATGTCAAGGAATTTAACCGTAGTATTCCAGCATTACTTAGAATATGTTTAGACTATGGATATTTTTATGACTTTATTTTGTTCTAATGTCCAGAGAAATCATAAAGGAAAGTCAGATTGTATTAAGTGCGATCTCAGCCTGTTTGTACTCTTCAGTTGAGCTCAGGCATTTCTACAATACACTCATCTGCAATACCACTGTGGCAACCTTGGCTGAAGCATGCTTGGTACAGCTGCATTTCATGTTGTGTCATATGTTGCTTTTCTTTTTCCTTAAATTTCTTGATCTGTATGTGATAGTAACCATGTGTACTGATAGAGATAAAGAAAGTAGACTGAATGAAATGCTTGAAAATTTCTGTAATCAGCAAAACATGCTAAAAATGTCTTTCCTTTAAAAGTTAGTTTACACTTTTTGCTCTCTCTAAATGATCCTTATGCATTTTGATATGCTTAGGATATTGCCTCATCAGAGAATTTTAATTGTGAGATCCTTACAGCTGTTACAATTTCTGATTCTGAAAATATTTTTGATTAGCTGCAAGTTGTTTTAGGGACTGCTGAGAAACAAGAAGGACATTGCTGTTTCAAGCTAGGGGAAAGTATCAGCCAGTGGGCCTCCTCTTTGGTCTACCTTATGAAGACTTCTGAAAGGCTTTCAGAAGGATTTCCATATGATACCTGTATGCATTATATCTAACTCCTGTCCTTTGCAGAAAACACTAGATACCAAGGAACAGGACTGGTACTTCCCAAAGGCCCTGCAAAGTCAAAGAGCTGTGTGTCCCATCTTTCCAAACACCTCCCATAAGGAATACAAAAGAATGAATATGTATGGGGCATTTAAATGAGTGTCATCACTATGAAGTGGGTGAAAAAAATAAGCCAGAAGAAATATGGAAAATGGAAAATTCCATTATTAAGGTTTAGTCATGTTACCCTCAGTAGTCGATTTTCATTCAACAGTTTCATCACATTCAGATAGAATTATAGAATTCTAGATAGAATATAATTTGTTTTTAAATCGTGACCTGTCTTTGCTTGTATTCCTTTACTTTGTAATTTATTCTAGAGAATTTTTCAGATTTACCCATATAGAATGGTCAATACCCCTCAACAAATTATGCACTTTATGATGAACTAACTTTTAATTACCATTTCACTTTGAAATGCTAACTCTTGTTTTGGCTCTGCTATGAGAGTGCTGGAAGAAAAAGAATGAGGTCCTTAGAATCAAATTAGTTCATACCTCCAGGAAGCCCTGTTAAAGACATGTGCATATGTATCACACAAACACTTGTATTTTTTTTTTTTTTTTTGTATTTATACCTGGGCATTGGCTTAATATCTTGCATAGCTTTAAGGAATAGTATAATCAGAATAAAGGGACACAGCAACAACCCATGTTGTTTTACAATTCAATGCTAGATTGAATTTTATTGAATTACAGCTTTGCATACAATCTACAAACTAAACAAGTGTACCTAAGTGGAAAGGAGTAAGTATATAATAAAACACGGAAAGCTAAAGATGACTAATGAGCGCAGCATTTTCATGTTTCTGTTTTGTAATGCTGACAAATTATTACTATCGCACGAATAAAACAGGTTTTTGCACAAACTTGCACATGAATTTATGTGTACTGGTTTTGCTGTAAACACTTAGACATTTAATGGTCTTTAGTTATGTACAAAAAAAACCACAACCCAACCCTGTAAATCTGACTTCACAATTCCATGAACAGTGGGACTGAATCTACATGTATTGCATGACAAGTGATGTCTCCTTGTTATCAGTTGAAAGGAAGATCTCTGTCTATGAAAGATCCCTAATTCAGCTTCAGAACTGCATGTTGATTTAGTGGTAAGGTTTAATTAAATATAATCTTTGGCATATTATGGCCCATTCTAAGAACTATATGAAAGAGAATATACCTAAACAAGTTTGTTTGAACCATTTCCAGCGGATGTAAGAAAAGAATGGTACAGGTTCAGTTTGGGTTATGAGTAAACGTAATTAAGATGGATGATGTTTGAAATGGAAATTATATATAATTATTAATAAAGTATTTTTATCAAAAAATAGAAAAACATATGGATCATACTGTGCCAAAAGCTATTGAAATTAAGCCATAAGGGAGATATAAGGTTGAAAATTACGTTTGTACTATAGTTTCAGTTGTGGTGCAGCTATGTATCAGGGCTGTACCTGTATGCCCACCTAGTGCACTCGACTTATTAATTCCCTGGGTAGCCCAGGATCTCATTGGTATAGAAGTGTTTGCCTAGATGTGACTAGCAACTTGCTTGAGACCATAGATTGACTTGAGATGAGGTGATTTCTGTCTTGTAACCACTGCCTCAGAAGTATTTGACTATTTGCTACAAAAGCTTTTCAGGTAGGAGTTTCAGAAAAAGCCCTACGGGTTCCCTCAGGCAACTCCTGCTGAGTCTAGAGCAATTTGTGTGTATCAGTGTTAATCAGCATGGGAAATGAGTGGAGCACGTGGCTGTACCAGAGAGTCTGAGTGGTTTCTGCTACACCACTAACCAAACTGGACATAGGTAAGATGCTTGTAACAAGCTATTAGAAACTGTTTTTGTAAATGTGGAAATGTTCTCAAAGGAGAGCCTTTTGTATGTAGTTAAGATAGAGAGAAAAACCTATGTACACATTGCAGGATAATAAACAGTGATGTAGCATGCATACGCTGGAGCAGTCAAATAGGACTAGGCCAGCTGGATGTAAGAAATCTTCCAAAGAGCAGTTCAAGGAGTTTCTCCCAAATCATGTGAACTCAGTGTTGAAAGGACACTTGTGAATGAGTCTCTTGTTGCTTTTTGGAGAGTAACTGACCCATCCTATTCAAGAGATTTGATTATCTATGCAGGTAAAATAGTTTGTCTAGGTAAAATAGTTTGTTGTTGTTTTTTAAACAAGCACTCTGTTTTCACCTGTGTGACAATACTGACAGGTATCATATAATTATCCATCACAATGAAGTAAGGGTTCTTGCTAAGATACTGAATGCTATTTGGCTCTTGAAATATTTACCCATGATAGTATTGACTTGACTAACTGCATGCCTAGCATCAGTGGAAAAGTAATCAATACTTGAATCCCCAGGCTTCCAACTGCTATTCTGAAACCAAATTACCTAATAGAACTTGCTGAATAAAACTTACATTATTTCATTCTGAAAATATTATTCTACCATTTTTTTTTTCCCTGAGTAACAGGGTGTGTTATTAGTAACTAAGCCCTCGGAGAATGGCGATTAGTCTTTGAGCGCTAACCCCCTTCAAAACATGGGTGGATAGCTGGTGAGACTGTGATGAGGAGGCCTGTTTTTTAGCAGAATAATTCTGAAAACAAATCTGAAAAGGCACTAAAAGAATGTTAAATAACAAAGGAAAGTAGAAGGTGAATGGTAGAACCAATGGAGTACAAATCCAAAACAGAGCCATGAGCTCACAAAACCAATCAAAGAAGTTGAACAAAATTCTAGTGCTGGCTTCATTGGTAATACAATAGAGAATTATTGCTTATTTATAGACATTAATTTGATTGATATTATTAGTATTAGTTAATATTAATGAAACCTGAGGGTGAGAACTTTATTATGAGGGTAAAAATGATGGTCATGAAGTACCAAGTGAGGAAAAATGGGAGAGGAAGTGGCAAATTTTGCCAAAATAACATATCCTATTGCCAAATTACTGGTACCTTAGAGACAAATTGTGTCCAACATTTTCCAGTTTCTGAAAGTTAAAACTGTTATTAGCCATAGTTAAATTTATTAGCTATGAATTTGAGCAGGAAAAAAAAAAAAAAAGGAATGATAACTGGGAACTGCTTTGGGATAGCTCAGTAAATGTCTACAAATTGATGATCAAACCCACAGTCAAGATGCTCATCATGAGAAGTTCTCATGTTAAAGACAAATGACCTGGCTAGAGAGGAAATGAAAGCAAGATAATTATCTTGTTTTCCTGGCCAAGAGGCAGATATTGGCCATTTTAAGCCAATCACTACTTTGCTTAGTTCACTCTTCACTTACATAATTTAAGAAGTAGAAGCCTGATTCAGTTAAACATAACTAACTTCATGAACACATCACTGGTAAGTTAGCACTCCTTAAGGGATAGGAAGGGCCTAAAAGAATAGAAAAAAACCCACCTTGAGTCACATTCCTTTCCCCCTCTCTCTCCCCCATCCAGTTTTTCACAGCACTACATGCATGTCCCTATTGAGACTGTTATCAAATGGATACTGGAGTCTCATCTTTTAAAGGGGAGGTGCAACTCAGAAGGTTCTTAAACAGCAACAGATTAAAGGTAAGTATTTTACATCCGGAGATCTAAATAACTCACAAAGAACTTTTATGGATCACTGATGTTGGTGTTTTTTTCAGGATTTTTTCAAAATTATGAGAAACATCCCTGAAATGAAAGAAAACAAGTATGCAACATTTAAATACACTAAAACAGACCATTCTGGGTACTTCTTGGCCTGTCAGTCTGGTGTCAATCCTGGACAAAATAGTTCTCGATGCTTTGCTTTAGAAATGTCTGTTACTATTGTTCCTGATGAGTGGAAAACATTGAAAATTTGATGAGACAATGCATTGAAACTACCCAAATTTCTCATTAAGATCTAAAATGACACAAAATCAAAATGTTCTACAATGTATGGATGAAAAATAGCTAAGAAGTGTGTCTCAAACTTGAACTGTAAACAAGAAGTCATTGAGAAACAAATCCCATCTGAAATCTATTTCCTTTTGTCTCTTTCTAGTGTTGGCTTAAGAAGAAGATTTGTACCACCAGTGAAGTTCGAAGGTGACACAAGTATTGTGAATATAGCAGTTGCTGGAAAAGAGAAAACTGCTGGTGCAGAATGATTTGAATTGGTTGGTATGCTGAAAGAGCAAAGAAAACCATGTTTTACTGTGATTTTTTTTTCCCCAGTAGTGATAATGATGGTAAGGATAGGGAGAGTTCCCTTGTGGCAAACGACAATGGAAAAGTCTTGAAACTCCTGTGGAATATCACCTAGATGTGACCAGAATATTGTTGTGACTGAAAGATCTCATGTAATCTTGCCTATATAGAGAGAGAACTATCAAATTTGGGGTATAGAAGGTATATCATCTGTACATCTGATATATGTTCCATATTTTTTTAAAGGAATGTAGTGGTTTTACCCTGATGGACAGATGAACTCCACCACAACTACTCTCTTGCTCCCCTTCCTCAAAGGGGAGGGAGGGAGGGAGGGGAAAGAGCAGGAGGGGAGAAAGTATGATGGGAAAGGAAAAGGCTCACAGGTTGAGAAAAGGATAATTTAATGAGAGGGAAAAGAAACAACAACAACAACAAAAATCACACAAAGATCATACTGTTGTATTGACTTATACAACAGAAGTGTGATCAGACACACCTTCATGAGTTTCCCAGCAAGCAAAGTAATCTGTACCATATCAGAAAAATGTTGAAAATGCTTCAAATGTGGAAAAAAAATCCAACAAAATTCCAGCTCTTGACTGGCCCCAGAAGTTGAATTCATGATAGTAAAAGATAAAAGTACAGCAAGAGAAATTGCACAATTTACATTCTTTAAATGGCTTGAGTTTAGAAGGTTAATGTACAATACATGGAGACCCCACAGTGCAGTGTCCCATCACAGAACATTATCAAATGCTACCCCTGACAGCCTGTGAGCTGAAGGTCAAGAATTTATCATCCTTTCATTAAATAATCAGAATGGAAATAAATGAACAATAGAAGGTGAGAAAATCAACAGCTATAATGGCAGTAAGATTAAAACTAGCGCTTTAAGGAGGATTACTGTTAAAGTCCACTAGATTTTAACAGTAAATGCCAAGGTTTGGGATTTTGTTGGAGATGAAAACCCTAAGCTATTTTCTTCACTGTGATGACCTTTCTGTTGTAATTTTCCTTTGAGCAAATTGATAATAGGAAAATAAGAGGGAAGATAATCTCACCCTGATATGCTCTGCCCATTCACGGTTTTGCTCAAGATTGTGTTTTCAAATGAGAAAAAGAAAGCCCTTCTTTCATTTGAAATCTCATGAACTATTTAGCCTTAAATCACAGGAGATACAACAACCTGAATGACTCCAGTAGTTTGCATTCTGTGAATAATTATGCTTTTCCTATGAGAAAATGAAGTTATTACCTGGTTTAATATGTCGCTTCCTAATTCCAGGAGAGGTTTGCCTTTTTAAGCTTTATTGCAAAGACTGAAATGCTCATTTGCTCTTTCTTTTCCCCCCTCCTCCACCTGTCCATCATTTTTATTATGTCATTAAGAGAACTAGATATATATTAGCTGCTATGGGCTCAGATACAAGGTGATGCAAAGGAAAGAGGAGGTATCTTCATCTTTGAGTTATATATATGATGACCAAAATAAATACGTGAATTTTTTCTGCCTGTAGACTTTCAATTACGCTTACAGATAAAATAAATACTAAACCCCTTTCCTTACTGCTGAAGTCAGGATGTATCCATTTTCTATATAAGCTGATCTATGTTTGAATATATGTACTGATTATAGCATTGAATTGATAGTGCAACTGTGTTCAAAAAGACAATAAAGGCAGAGTCCTAGCAATTCTGGCAGTAAATCCAGTCTCAAAATAATGTAATTATTTAATATAGTCTTCTTTTGCTAGGTCTTGATTCTGTTTAAAGGAAAATAATATATTCCTCTTTTGTTCTGCACAGCAACAGAGCAAGTTGAGAGTAACAGAATGTTCTATTAACTGAACTAACGGAGCAGCTCTTTCTGCTAAACTTATATAACTCTTTAGACACACCATGTGCTGCTTGTTCACTTCCAGTCTATCTCCTAATCATTCTAGCAAGTCAAGTAAGGTCTCTTCCTGCTTAAAGGATATTTCCCTACATCACAGTCTTGAAGCCTCACTTGCTGCTAATTGCAGTGATTGCAAATGTGTTGACACTAAAGCTTGTTGAATGCTGAAAAGAAATCTGCAAATATTTATTTGACTTAGTAAGCACATGTGTTTTCACAGTGTTCACACCCTTTGGAGATTTACTTCTACTCACAAGCTTAGTAACACGAATGGTTGCAAAGCAACGTATTTTGAATAAATATTGCGAATTTCTGGAAAGCAAATTTCAAAATCATAATGGCAAATATTATTGCTGAAAAACTGTTCTTAAGCAGACTGTTAAGACTTACTAAAGTTGGTATAATATTCTGTAGATGAAATAGCTCGTGAGTTTTCAAGAATAAGAGAGATCAGTGAATTTGCCAGTTTGCACCAGCAAAAAACTTAACTGCTAAGCCATATCTGTAGAGCCATCTGGGCATCATTACTTGAGATGTGCACAGTTTGTCCTTGGGGAAATGAGGGATTTAAATGCCAAAATAAATGTACTGTGCTACGGTTTAAAGTATACACTGAATTGTTTTAACATTCTCATCTCTCTTTCATTTTGAAAACCGCAGAGCCCTGCAGTGATCAGTTTATTAGTGAACTTTTGTGAAAAATAGTGCTCAAAGGATCCTATTTCTCTGTGTCTTCATTTTCTCAAACCTCCTTAGATATTTTCCTTACAGGATTTTTGTTCTCCATGCTATGTACTTGACAATATAAGAAAACAAGCTAATGGGGTTGAAATGGAAGAAAGATACAGGTGAGGAGACAACAGTAAAGAAGGGATACAATCCTAATTTCTAAATAAGAAAAGGGGAATAGATGATTTTGTAATTTTTGGCTAGTAAATTTCACACCTTTGCATAGAAATCAGGAAAAGATGATAAATTATATATTATATAACTATAGAACCTACTCTTTAACTGCCATTTCACCTCTGGTCTACATTACTTTACATTTAAAACATTATTAGGAATATTACCCATAAAAGCTAAGCATGGGAACAAGGTTAAGCCTGAGAAATAAAATTACCTTTTCCTTTCAATTCTTTAATGTATATATTGCAATGTTAAGGGAAAAATGAAATATTATGTTGAAGCTTTTTTGAATCATTTAATCTTAGACTGCTCTTTAGGTTCAGTATACTGAATCCTACTTTGATGAAGTTACTTAAAAAAAAGAATGATAAAAATGTGCTGATGTTCAACCTTATAGAAATACTATTGCAAGCTTAAACAAGCAGTTGTCCATTTTATACTGGTGCAAAATGTAAGATGTTGACAAAAGAATTTAAGGCAAAAAAAAAAAAAAAGGAGTTAAATTCCTTTGAAAAAAATAGTGTGGTTGCCCCACACTTTTTCTTTAGATGCTTCCCTTTCTTTTACCTCAGTCCCAGTTATTTGAGGTTGCCATGTGTTATTAGAAAAAAATCTTAGATCAGTTTATTGTCAGTGTGTACAGCTTTCCCCAAACTATTATAATAAGAAGCCAATTCACCTGCAATGTTTGAAAACAATTTGCTGCTGCTGTGTGTGTATTCAGTGTCTTACAAAATGCAGGTAATTGTTTTAATTGTTTATTTAGCAGTATCTGATTAAACATGCAGACATATCACCATAATTAAGCTAGTTCTGTTCTGAACTTGGCGTAAATCAGCTCAGATGCTGAGGTCTAATCACTGGTAGTTGAAAGCACTAGTGGCATCTGGTGAGACAAATGGATAAATATCTTACAGAAGCCTGGGAGTTGGTGAGGTTACCAGCCTCACAGAAGACCATTATTTTGTCATTAACTGGTGTGAGCAACAGTGTATAACTCATTTGCAGAACTCTCAAACTATGAACGTTTCCTTCCCCTTCCTTCTCATTCCCCTCCTCCCCCCAAGCGATGTGCAAAATTTTAGTAAGAGACTCCATGTCCTGAAGACCATACCTTTGAAGTATATAAGACGGGCAAAGTGTGGCAGAAGGGAAGAACTGTTATAACTAATTTACAGGAAACTGAAGCTCAAAGATGTTAACTTTTTCTAAGATCAGACAGGAGGCTGGAACTGTGAATCAAGGTAAGGAGCTTAAGGACAGGATGTTCTTTCTGGATTTGTTTTCTTAAATATTGGAAAGAAAATGTTTGTGATCTCCAGATTTGACATAGCAGGGATATTTCTCCCCTTGGAAATCTCCATGGAAACGCATGATACAGATTGAAATGGAGACTGCAAAGCAAAAGCAATACAGCTCTGGGCTGTTTAACTGTAGCAAAGAATTTTCTATGTGGTAACATCTCCTTAAAAGTGGATTAGGATAACTGTGAATAAAGGGAGCATCTTTGTCAAGGGCTAAAACCAGAACTTTTGTCATCAGTGAAATGCTGTGGCAATGTGGCACCTGTTCTGTAAGGGTTATCAGATTATAAAGGCTGAAAAGTAGGACAAATCCAGAAGAAAAATCACTCTTATAGTAGACCAGGATTGTTTAATGCACCTGTAGGATGGCATCATGATTGTTCCTTGTATGCACCATTATGTTGTGTATTTCTCTGGCTGCTCAGCAGCTAGTGGAAAATACAGAAACCTCAACCGATTAATTTGCAAATGGAGTCAGGATTTTTGTATATAGAATGAAGGTTTTGATTCCTAAAGGTTGTCTGTCAGTCTTTTTTTTCAGCCTTCTTTTGGAATCTTGTCGCATAAAGGCCAGACTCAGCCTATTCTGGGTAGAACACCACAAATTAGAAATTTTATGGTTTTAATATTTCTAAGACTTCAAGGTAGAGTTAGGCATTGTGGTCCTTTTTATGCAAAAGTAACTAGTTCAGAGACTAATGCTGCTTCTTTTTGCCCATATGTCTTAATCTCCATCATAATTTTTAGGTCCTAAGAAATGCAGATTTGGGCCTTTTCTGTTCTAAACTGACTGTGCAAAATTTGTTCTGAGTTGATGGTGCTGCTTAGTCAGTTCTACCAAGAATGAAATATATGCATATGTAGTTTACGTATGTGACACATTTATTTACCTTCATTGTTATCCTACTATGCTTATATTCTTCCCATAAAATAATGGCTAATAAAGTTTTCCTTTAATTAGTACATTTTGATTTGATATTTTCTAGCTCATTTAAGACATGCAGAATTACTATTTGCTTGTGTTTATTTTCTTTTTGCAAACTTACAGTTATGTTCCTTTACTGAGAGACAATGTGAACAGTTAATACCGGTTTTCTAGCTTTCATGCTTTCTAGCATACTGTCTTGCATTTTAAGTTATGCCTAAGAGAACTCAGAGTAATAACTCTGATTTATTCTCAAAAGATACAGCTGATATTTATGTAGCGGTCTTGATTCTGCAGATACCTGTGTGTTAAATCCTTAATACTCCTGCACTTTCAATTCCTACATTCGAGTGTTGTTTTCTGAAGTAATGGGGTCTTTGTACATGCCAAAGCACGTACAAAGTGATAATGAACATATAATCACTCTAGGAAGCTTAGAAATCACTTTCATTACAGGAAGTTACTTAAAAACATTTTAAGTCCTATATAAATTACCCCGAATTAATGAGACTTTCACTGAAATAGAACTGACATCCTTGCTAATGCGAAATGGAATCATGATTGTTAGTCTAATACACAGAGTAAGAAATCTGTGCATTATAGTTTAAGAACACAGGGCATGCGAGACTTGATAATATATTCACAATCAAAGGAGCTGTATTAAAACATTTTCATTGTCTGTCTTCTCTTTCCCCCTGGGAGGATGCCTGGTGTAGCAATGTTGTGTCCAGGCACAGACGCTGTGCCACTATGCCCAGCCAGCACACCAATTAGACTTAAATGGGGTATCACTGCTGTGAGCTTTAAGGCGTCACCTTTAAGGCATGTGGGAAATTCCTTTGAATTTTAAAGGAGAATAGGCTATTGTCACTTCCTTATTGTAGGCACACAGACTGTGTAATCGGGGGAAGGATCCTCCAACAGAGAGCAAGTGAGAGCAGGAAATTAAATGTAAGTGATCTGGAATACCCCTTTAGAAAAATTCATCCATCTCCATGGGCTATATGGTGATCCTAGGAACAGCAGGCTCTGAGTCAGTCAGCTGAAATGGGAGGGGGAGATATTTTTGACTAGAGCTAGAATAGAATTTATGTCAAAATATCTTGGTGAGAGAATAAAATCTTTCCAGCAGCTTCATTAGTTCAAGTGAACCTGTAAGTTGTGTTACAGCAGGAAGCCACTGGACTTCTTTTGGCTTCAGACAGCTGCTGTGTTCCTCTTTGTGTCTTCCTGGACTACGAGGGAGATAGATCCGTGAGCACTGCTGAGTGTAACTGGCCCAGCAATTGCTGGACCTTCTCTTTCTCACTTGTTTTGCTGTCAGGAAATGATAGAGTTATTCTGAAAGCTGTGCTTGCCTTTCTACAGAGCAATTGAAATTCAAGCCCTTCTTCTGGACAGTCTTTAATGAGTCAAGAAATCTGAAATTTTTGGTGGAAATTGTGATTCTTCTTGGGAAGGCTTTTGGAAACACACGATTTATAAGTGAGAAATAGGGTCAGGAAAAAGCAGAATTTTGACTTTTAATGGCCAAACTGTTGCGCATTCTACCAGAAAAAGCAATTTCTAGCCTGTACATAAACTTTTTCCTGTCTCATCTCGTTGGTCTTCCTGTCTTTTGAGACCTGTTATTCTACAATTATTCACTTTTCCACAGGGCAGGCTCCTCAGCCTCTTTTACTCCTTTTGCTCCATGGACTAACCCCCCTCCCCCCTCCCCTTTTTCTTTCTCTTTCTTTACAGATGGGTTAGGTTGTTTTTGTCTAGCCTTGCAGCTGTTAATATTTCTCTTCATGGGAAATTTCTCTGGCTTTTTTCAGTCTCATGTTGTTTTTGTGGTAACTTGCCCAGAGTGGGAGTTGGAACAAATTCATTTTCCTGAAATGTAGTTATGGGAGGGCTGCACGAGAGGATGAGAGAGAATATGAGAGGATCTCCATTACTGTGTTTATAGCTACCTGTCGCTATTGATCATTAACCAATCTTGCTAGAAGTATGGCTTCAATTTTCTTTTTTCAATGTGGATTAAGCAGTGTTGCCAATGCACATTTTTCTCTGTCAGACTTTACAGTAAGTATGTAGCACACAAAAGTTTGAAAGCCATCTCCTCAGATGCTGTTTTAAAAAGGACTTTTAAATGACTCAGTCAGAGATTTCATGCTCACTGGCATTGAAAAATTAGAATTTAACACTTTCAGCTGACTTTAAAGGCTGCAAAAAGGCTAAAATGGACAGCAGAATTCAGCTGTGTGAAAGACAAAAAAAAAAAAAAGGAGTAGAGAACGGTGAGGAGATGCTTGCTTTTGAAAAGGCTGGAACTACAGCACCACTTAGCATACGGTGCAGTGTTTTAAAAAAGAAACAAGCAAAAAAAAAAAAAAAAAAAAAGCCAGAAAACAGCATGTCTCTACCTGCGTTGGGGTGGTGGGATAGCACTTGGGTCAGGATAGTGAGGCATCTGAGTATTTTCTGAGGTCAGCAGTACCCCAGGCTTTTACCTCCACTAAGCACCTACGCACACTGAAGGAAAATAGGTGAAAATGAACTCAGAGGAAACAGATAGGTGACTGGGGAGACTGAGATTTGGAAACAGAGCTTGAAGAGTCTTATATAAAATGTCCAGAATAGAGGGTGACAAAATCAATAGGAGGAATGGTGTGTGTTCATACATTGCAGGGTATAGCCATAGGAGTTTCTGTGTTCTGGATGTTTACTACTTCACATTCATTGGACACTTATTTCTACTGTTTCTAAGGCCAGAACTAGGTACTCCATGTAGGAAAAATAGGAAGCAAACAGCCAGAAGTGGCAAAATGTTGGTGATCTTGTGGCTTAGCCAGACACTGGTGCTGCAAGGTAGGCATCTAGCTGCTGTCTCATCAGGGCAAGAGCTGGGCTGTGGGTGGGCAGCTGGCTCACAGGAGAGGTGCAAGCTGATGTCCCCCTTCTCTATGCTGCTTTGGCTGGCTGGGTTTCTCCCATTCTGCCTCTTTCCCCTGTGGCTCACTGTGCCATGACAGTAGTTGCCTGGCCCACAGTTGCCTGGTGGGTTCCTCATCCATGTTCAGCAGCTACAAAGCTTTGAGCCAATGCTGGCTTGTCATGTTACAAGGTAGTTGATCCTCTTTGTTTTGGTCCCACCAAAAACATTGTCTGAGCATAATTTGAGGAAGTTCAGTGGCCTCTTTTGTAGGACTATCCACCACAACCCACATGGGAATCGGATGATGTTATTGGGTCATGATTCCTCACCAGGAGGGAGCTTTCAAGTGCTGTGGTGTTTGTAGCTAGTTGTTTCACACTGATTTACCAGGATTTTAGCAAGTCAGTTGCTTTGGTTGTATGATATTATGAAGCAGAGGTATTACATACAAAATTATTTAAGAAACATAGGGAGGAAAAGGTGGAAGCAGCATAGGAGGCACTTCATCATCAAAAGCTAAGGAAGAAAGGGTGCAGTGCTGACACTTTTTGCTGTCGCATCTGTCTTGCAGCTTGCAGCAGGCTCCAGACAGTGCAGCTGTCTCTGTTTTTACGGTGCTGCAGTTTGTGTGTGAAAATCGCAGTGCATCCTTGGCCCCTTCTCCTATCCCCCTGCAGTTAGGGTTTTCTACTACTGGTTTCTCTGGGGTCAAGGTTGCACTGCTGAGTCATGTGGAGAGGCCTAAGACATCAAGCATACATGCAGTAGGCACACCTATCTGTCAGGGTTTCCCTCAGAGGGAGCTGCCCTGTCTACTCTGCTCTCTCTGTAAATAAAATAAAAATAGAACTCAGGCAGTATGTGAAAGGATTAATGACATTGTCTGAAGCTAGTATCAGTGTTGTGTACAAACTGGTAGCATGCCAGTAGTGAAATCAGATTATTTAGTAAACTTTAGTAGTAGCATTTCAAGATGATGATGCAAGATTTCAGCACAAAGTAAAAATAGTCAACTCAGATGTCTGCACTCCTGCATGTAGCTCAGCTAGTATTTAGGTGTGACATGTATATGCTGCATCTGCAATCCAACAGAGAGAAACAAAACTCCACTAATAGCTGAAAACTCTCCTGAGTTTAATAGGTGTGGTCCTTTCAGTCTTTCAGGTTTCTTTTATTTTCAGATCTATTTATTTATTTAATTAATTTTTATTTTTAAGTTTTAGGTTTGGTTGATTTTGCCACATGGCAATAAAGGTATCCTCCAGCTGCCTTCCAATAAATTAGAGTTAATGTATAGAGTACCGTAAAGTGTTAGCCATCTTTGTGGAGCTATCTCCCTGCAGGACAGCACATGTAAGAAAAATGCAAGCTGAAGATTCAAGAACATACAAAGGAAGATGAAACCTGCCCTCACAAAGAAATAATGCTTCAGGTGAAAGGAAATGTGAGAAGTTACAAAATGTACCAGTAAAAAACTAGAGCTTATAGCGACAAAATAAATAATGTTAAACCACTGAAAATTCTAGTAAATGCACAGGTTATTTCAGAAGAAGAGGTCCACCTATAAATTTGGAACAGGCAGTTTCCTTCATGCTGCAAGAATGAATGAGGGAGGCAAGAGTGGCATGAGATCAAAGGGCACTTACAGGGTGTACTAAACGAATGAGGGAGAGACAGGCAAGACAGAAAGCAGGATCAAAGGACACTAATGATAAAGAAGCTCTGCTTGCCATCTCCTATAAAGAAACACAGTGAGTCAGCAGAAGTTCAGAGAGTATTAAAAGAAAAAATCTAAAAGGAGATCACATTAGAAGCAAGCTACATGTATTTCCTGACCATCAGAGGATGAAATAATAATGGGATGCGGGCGACATTCAAGCACAAGCTTGTTGACTGCAGGTGCCTTTGGCTTGCAGCTATGGATTGAAAAGCCTTTAAGGGAATAGTCTGAAAGAAGCTAAAGCAGCCAGTGCATTAAATGATGGTCTCATTAGGGAGCTTGGTGGAGCCCTGTCTAGAGTGCTTTGAGTTCAGATCCATTCCTAGCTAATGCCCTGCTGTAAGTATATAGAAACGGTGCACTTTTTTTCCCCCTCTTTTTTCTTTGGTTTTCCTTTATGTTGTTTCATTGAAAGGATAGTGAAAAGCAGCTTCAAATCATACTCTGAAAGGGTACTCAATTAAGGATATAAAAAAACCTGATTAGAATAATTAGGAAATTGCTCAATATAATAGTTAGCATTTAGATACTAGTTTTCATCCATCAGTTTCAGAGGACTTTATGTGTAGTATA